ATTAGCCATGGATACTTTTGGTTCTGCCTCCAACTAATTTCTGTCATCAGTTCACTTCTCCCTATCTTTCTACCACCAATGTGCCTTGAGTCACAGACTTCTCACTGCAACCCCAGTGTAGCTTCCTGTCTTAGCCAGTGAGGGCCACTCCAACCAAATACTTCATAATTTATAAGCAATGTTAATTTATTGCTCACAGTTCTGGAGCCTGGAAAATCAGAGATCAAGATGTCTGATGAGGATGCCTCCGCTTCATAGATGCTGCCTAACTTCATCTTCATCCTGTAGAAGGGCAAAATAAACATTTTTAGACCTCCTTTATTAAAAAGGGCACTAATTCCACTTGTGAGGGCCCCACCTTCATAACCTAATTTTCTCCCACATGCCCCACCTCCCAGTACTACTACACAGAGGATTGAATGTCAATATGTGAATTTTGAGGGGACACGGGGGCATTAGGACCATAGTATTTCCTGACTCCCTCCCATACATTCTGCATACCCTAGAGAGGATAATATTTGAAAACATAAATCATAATAAAAACAGAAAACACCATAAAAACATAAATGACATTCTCTTGCTTCAAACCCTCCAAGACCTCCTGGGCCCTGTGACCCTCTTGCCCCTGCCACCCTTATCTCCCTCCCTATTTTTCCTACACATAGTACCAGTCACATGCTTCTATCCTGTGACACTTCCACTTTCTCCCAATCTTTGGGCCTTTGCAGCTGTCATTCCCACTGTTTGCAATGCTCCCATCCACTCTGCAGTTCTTACCATGGCCCATTTCCCTGCCTCCTTCATGTCCTACCTGGATTATTACTCCTAGGACAGATGTTCCTGAGTACTCCATCCAGTGTGGCTTCTCATGCATGGCTGCCATCTCTATCCCTTCTGCAGTGCTTGTCATAAACTAGAATTATTTCAGCGTTTTTGCTTTTTTATGTGTGCATTGTCCGTTTTCCCATCTGAAAAGTGAGTTCCACGGGGGCAGCAATCATTTCTTTTTCCTCTGTCTCTCACTGGTCCCCTGGAGTGCCACATACACACAATGAACAAACATGCTTGCCCTCTGCTAGTTCCAATTTATATCTTTTATGCTGTTTTCAGGTAAATGAAAGATGTTTGTACTAGGTAATAAAACTTTACTCTAAAGTTGATGGGGGACCAGCTTATACCTTGAATTTTGATACAAATATTTGGGCCATCAGCTTTAAGTCAATAAAAAAAGTGTTTGCCTTTTTTTTTTTCCAAATTCTCCACACATTACAGATAGGTGTTATCAGGAGGTTGCCATAGTAATCTAGATGCCGTTTTCTCTCCTCTTTATTTTATCTACTGGACAGGAGACTCACGAGGGACTTGGCAGACAGAACAAGTCCATGGCTTGGTGAGGATCTTTGTAAAGCTTGCTGCAATGCCACCGTCAGATTCTTCTAGACCAACAGCTTTAAGCCTATATGGCTCATGATGCTGTCAGAACAAGTCCACAGGCCTGGCTGGGAGCCAGCCTGATAGAGTTACTCACTGTGAGATTCCCTTGAGCAGGGACAATGCTCACTCCCGTGTGCATTGTGAACTCTTCCTTCTGGCATTGAAGCCCTCCTCAGAAAACAGCCCCATCCAGAGCCCAAGAAGCTTCACCATTCCAAGGGACAGAATTCAAAAATGACCAAGAAATGAAATTTTCCTCCTGGAATTTCTCAGTAGAACACTGGGATGGATTTCCCTTGGAATAGACTAAACACTCAGGACTGGGGGAATCCATCGCATCGTAGGAAAAAAGGAAAAGAACCCATCAAGGACCTTGCTAGATAGAGCCTGGTTAGCCAAGGCAAAACACCTTTCTGGCTGAGCCATCAGGGTGTCAGCCCATACTGGGACTGCCTTAGGATCCACCCAGTTCTTATATACACCAACACTTCAAGCTATGCATACAGATGTGAATGTGGTTTAAACAGGGATCAGGGAAGGGAAAGTGTCCCTGAATCAGCTTCCAACAGACCCCACCCCCTCTCTCATTTCTCCAAAATTCTCTTTTATGATTGAGTTCTTGATATCTTACTCTCCATCCCATTATTGTTCCTTATTTATTCTTTATCTCCCTCCCCACATTTACCTCTCCTTCTGTATTTTCCTGAGTTCCACTTTCTCCCTACCTTCTGCTATTTAAGATGATTATCCACTCCTGACTCTGGCCTCTCTGTAGATGCAGAAACTTTCACTGAGGGCCTACTCATTGGTCTCCAGTGAGTGGGGAAGTGCTCTGGGGGCTGTGTTCTACCACACCTTTACACTAACAAGTACCCTTTAAAAATTCACTCTCCAACTGCTCACCAAGGATCCTTGCAAAACTAGCTGTTCTTTAGAAGTTTTAGAAGTCTCTGAGTGCTCACTTCCAGCTTATTTTTGTGTGCCAGTCACACATCCAACAATCCTTTGGCTGATGATATATATCTAGCAATTGGCTTTTGCGCCACTGAGGTTAGTTTTAACATGCCAGTTGATAGTAATAAAGCAGCAATTCTGGAAGTTCTGTCCAAGGATCGCTATGTATTAACACATCGTTAAAATAGTATATTGCAAAGTCAACATACGATTATAACCGTTGACCTATCAAATACTGACAGATTTTGAAAGCTCAGTGGAAGCCAAACATCATTTTATTCAATTGGGATTCAGTGAAAGGAAGAGAGTATGGTGGATGTTGCAGTGGGGTTGGTTTAATGTGTTAATGGTYTTTGTAATGTTTTCTTTTACAAAATAAGCATATAATACATCCACACATATTACATTATAATACTGCATTTTTATATTGTATGTACTTTCATGTGTGTACAATGCATACATAGGATGCATGACCAAGTGTTAACATGGGCCAATTGACTATAGCTTATATAATGGCCCTGGAGCAATTTCCACAGGGTCCCTGCAACCTTTGGAGCAATAGCCACATGCTCAGTTAGAATAGATGCTCCCAAAGAAGCTGCAGCACCTCTCTGAATATATATGCTTATAATAAATAAGAATTCGTTATATCATGACTCATATATTAGCCATCCACTTTACAATATAAATCAATAAACTTTATTGAGTGGTACAGTAGATGTAGGGTGGAGAGATGAAGGATGAATAATGCACAGCTCCCTAGCCTGGGAGAGTCATAACAATATGTTATTGTACCCTTGTCCTGGCAAATAAATGGTTCTGCCCAAATGTGGAAAAATATTTAAGTCAGTTCAAAACTAATAGGGCTGTTGGCTCTGAATTCAGGATAAACAAACCTCTGCCCAAGGAGAAATCAGATCTGCTGTCTTTCTGATCTGTTGTATTCAGCAAAGCCAAGCTCTCAAAGTTTGAATGCCTCACTCCTAAGTACCCTCAAATGAACTTTGTGCCTCTAACACTGCATAGTGACATTGCCATTGCTCTCCAATATATTGGCAAGTCAAACCACATTGAACAGTCCTGAATAGTTTTCTTTCTCCAGACCAAACTGACTAGTCATAGTGGACAGATGTTATCTGTCTGCACACCGTCAGTTGCATCTATGAACTGAACTTTCATTGTATTATAGGATGTTTAAAGGGGTAACATGTATTTTAAAAGAACAGAAAAATCATTTTTTAAAAGTAGGTAGGAAAAATACCAACTAGAAAACTCAAAATTGGCAAAGTCATTAAAAAGCAAAAATTAGGGCTGGGGATGTGGCTCAAGCGGTAGCGCGCTCGCCTGGCATGTGTGCGGCCCGGGTTCAATCCTCAGCACCACATACAGACAAAGTTGTTGTATCTACTAAAAACTAAAAAATAAATATTAAAAATTCTCTCTCTCAAAAAAATTTTTTTTAAAAAAAGCAAAAAGCAAAACACTGGATAAATGCTAGTGATAAAGGAATCAGAGAATTCATGAATCAAAAGATAATGTTGAAACATTTTATTAAGATGGCAGTAGAGACAATGTAACTTTTAAAATAATGAAAGTGGAGATAATAAAAAGCATAGGCAATTTGAAAGGTATCCACTTTTGTCTAATAGCTACTCCAGAGACAATACTTAAAGAGATGACAAGAGTCGTATTTAAAGAGATAATGGCTAAGGATGTCCAGGAATTAAAGACATGAGTCTTTAAATCAAAGGGACTACCCTTTGAGGAGTACATTCTAAGACCCTCAATGGATGCCTGAAGCCAATGATAGCATCATATTCTAGTATATTGTGTTTTTTCCTATACATACATACCTAGGATAGGTTTAGTTGATAAATTAGGCACAGGAAGACATTAACAATAATAATAAAACAGAACTATTATAATAATATCATATATCTTACCAACCTCAGCATATTTTTTCCTTACTGAGAACTTTCAGCTTTTCACTTTAAAGAAGCACTTTTTTAAAAGTTTTTTAATAAAAAAAATTATATCTACTTAGAAGCATTCAGAATGTCAACAAAACAGCTGCCACTTTTTTTTTTTTTTTGCAATTACAGAGTGGTATTCAGTTAACAGAACAACAATTATTTCATATAAGCTACATCAGTTATGAAAGAGAAATGAAAACCTATATCCCTCCTAAAGAGGAAACAAACAGGAAGTTCAAGGATCCCAGTGCACCCAGTTAAAAATAGATGCTCCCAAAGAAGCTGCAGCACCTATCTGAATATATATGCTTATGATAAAAATATATTTATATATATGAAAAACCCATCCCCATATATAACTAATTTGTGCTGTGCATCAATAAGAACCTGCTTTCAATTTCCATGTCAATTTACAACCCCCATACTGTACCAGGCAAGGTTAGTGGCTATTGAAAATACCACCAGGACAGGGCTCTCTAAAGACACATTTGGTAGTGTGTTGACTATACAAAAAAAGACACTGTGCAGTTTAAAAACAAATCTTACACAGCCTTACATTTCAATTTTTTTCCTTAAAGGGAGTGAGTTGGGGGGTTAAATGCTTTATAGACAAGAAAAAAAAACTGCACTAGAACCAACTTATTCATCATCATCATCCTCTTCATCATCTTCCTCCTCATCTTCCTCCTCTTCCTTCTGTTTCTTGCTTTTTTCAGCCTTGACAACTCCCTTTTTTGCTGCATCAGGTTTTCCTTTAGCTCGGTAGGCAGCAATATCCTTTTCGTATTTTTCCTTCAGTGGGGTGGGGGGCAGCTTTCTTTTCGTAAGTCTGCTTGTTATCTGCAGCCATGTGATTCCACATCTCGCTCCGTTTCTTGGCAGCATCACCAATGGATAGGCCAGGGTGTCCTCCCTTGATTTTGGGGTGATACTCAGAACAGAACAAGAAGAAGGCGGACAGAGGCCTCTTGGGTGCATTGGGATCCTTGAACTTCCTGTTTGTTTCCCCTTTAGGAGGGATATAGATTTTCATTTCTCTTTCATAAGGGGCCTGGTCTGCCTTTGCTGTGTCTTCAGATTTTCCTTTCTCTTTAGCAGACATAGTCTTCCATCTCTGAGCACTTAGAAAACTCTGAGAAGTTGACTGAAGCATCTGGGTGCTTCTTCTTGTGCTCCTCCCAGCAAGTTTGCACAAAAAATGCATATGATGACATTTTGCCTCTAGGCTTCTTAGGATCTCCTTTGCCCTTGTTTAGTTATTTTTCCTCAGCGAGGCACAGAGTCACCCAGTGCCCATCCGGCTCTCACTTGCCCCCGTGCCGTCTCTGTGGACCTCAATGTACTGCAATGGCTATGAGAGCGGGAGCCAGACGCAGCCTCCACTCTATTTTTTCTTAAATATCAAATTGTATACTTTATTTATTTATTATTTTTATGTGGTGCTGAGAATCAAACCCAATGCCTTGAACGTGCCAGGCAAGTGCTCTACCACTGAGCCACAACCCCAGCCCTAAACAGAAGCTTTAAAGTGCTTCCCAGGATGTAGGCTCCCTGTTTATCTCTCTTATTGTTTCTTTTGCTGAGAAAAAACTTTTTAGTTTGAGTAAGTCCCATTTGTTGATTCTATTTGTTAACTCTAGCGCTACGGGTGTCCTATTGAGGAATTTGGAGCCCGATCCCAC